AGGTCGGGGCGCGGGAAAGCCGTGATGTTGCCCGGGGCTATGAGACGCGGCGGTGGGTCTGCAAATACGGCACATCGGGGTGAAACGAGCCCGTGGCCACCCGCAGACACCGAGGCTCGGCACGAGCAATCCCCACCTGAGACGGACACGTAGCCACGAGCCCGCGTCACCCCGACCTTGCTGGTGGCTGTGCACTCGTAAAACCCTTCGTCACTCTCAGACACCATGGGGATCAACCAGCTGATATTCCCCCACCTCCTACAAAAAGGGAGATTACAGAGCCCCCCCCACCGTGGGGCAGCGGAGCTGGGGCCGCCGTGTCACCACCCTGCTCCATATCCCGAGGACTCTCTTCCACCCAAGTCAGCCAAACCGATGTACCTCCACCTCCCACAGCATCACACCAGCACATGCCTCTGGATTTTCCTCTGCTGCCTTGGGATGCTCAGGACTTGCCGGCACCCAGCCAGCACGCAGCATCCCCCCCGCTGGGGGTGCACAGCACAGGGGGCTGTTACTGCCCGCACGGGTCCCTCACGGAGCCCACCGGGCCAAACCAGAGGACCACCTGAAGAGCCCCTCTTCCCCGAGCTTCATCCCACCACGGCTGAGCTGCAGGTGGAAAGGAACCTCGCTCTGTGCGGAGCAGGAGATCAGCTGTGGCTCGTGGTTGTACGCCTGAATCTTGCTGGAGATGTTCACTTTGGGTAGACCTGGAAGTAGCTGGAGTCACACACGTGTATCACACTCCCTGGAGCTCACCAAGAGCTGCACTGGGAAGAAGGATAAAAAAAAATATCCAAGCAGACCCCAAAGCAGAGGCTGTGCTGGAGCCTCTGGTCCCTTCTCAGCACCCTTGGGGAGCCTGGGGATCACTCACCAGGGACCACGCTGGTGTAGGTGACCCCAGAGAGGCGGTGGAGGGGGTGGCCCTGGGCATCTTCGCCCTTCACCTTTAGCAGAAAGTCACCCAGGGGGACACGGAGCGGTGAGCCCACCCAGAGCTGCCCCGAGGAGGTGTTGGAGAGGGGCCGCATGGGCAGCGAGAGGAGGGCATGGCCGGAGCTGTTGAAGAGCTCAATCTCCTGCAAGCGCCCAGGTGGCTTCAGACCAGTGCAGTTCACCACCACGGAGATGGGCAGACCTGGAGAGAGGGAAGGGAAAAAACAACCCAGCCAGGCTCCCACCTGCAAGAAGCAGCACAGACACAGCATCCACACCCCCGGGCAGCACCGGCCTCACCCTGCACCGGCCGCTCCCCGGGCTGGCTGGCATCAAAGTCCGGCTGGGTGGAGAAGCTGGCTTGAAAATTAATGTTGCTGATGCCCGTGATCCTCAGCGAGTGGCGGCCACTGCTCTGGGTCTGGAAGCGGAGCGAGAGATGTGTGCCAAGGGCAGGGGAAGGGAGATGCGATGGGGAAGGGAGGAGGCAGCTGCCGACCCCTTCCAGCCCACTCGGACATCCTCTGCCCGGCTGGAGGTGGACGGGGGAAAGCCCATGCCTGGCAAAGCCTGGTCAGCCAAATATCCACCAGGGCATGGGTAGGGGATGTGAAGGGTCTACCACCAACCTACCGTGACTGACCACATCCCTGGCTCATGGGGCTCCATGGCCACCACCATGGCTGAGTTGGGGATGCTGAGCAGTTCCTTCAGACCTTGGCCTTTCTCGAGGACCTTTCCTGCAACAGGGAGTGAACCTCTGTGATGGGGAACCTGCTCCATCCCTTGGTCCCAGCAGCTGGCCAGGAGCCCCCTCCTGCAGGGCTCACCGCGGTGCAGAGCCCATCACACCGCTCTCACAGCCAGGGGAGCTGAGAAAACCCTCCTAAAACCAGAGGCAAAGCCAACCCGGGATGGGAGCAGAGCAAACGCACTCGGTGCTTAATGAGGGCTTTGCAGCTCATTGCTTTTCCATTTAACTTTTCAGCACAGGGTTTGGTGATCCCCACACCTACAGCCTCCCATTTGTCCTGACCTGAGAGCTCTCCAGGAGGCAAAAACATGACCCCCCCCGCCTGCCCCCCTCCCCTGGGCTCCTACCTGCCGGATCCCGCACCTCGATCCCCGGGGCAGGGCCGCTCAAGGAGATGGTGACCTCCTTCAAGCTAGGGTCGAAGGGGACAGGCCACGTGTGCTCCCCACCGTCATCGTGGTCCGTTGACAGTAAGTGGACTTTGGAAGCCCGGATGGCCTCTTCCACCCACTTTAGCACCTGGGGACACATGGGGGAGGATTAACCCAGGTCCCTCCTCGCCATTTTGGGAGCAGGGCTGTATCGCACTGGGTCAAAAGCTCAGGCACAGCTGCAAAACAGTGTCCGAGCGATGGAGCAGCCCCAGCGGGGTCCGACGGGTGCCAGCAGACGGGTGGGCAGGAGGTGATGGCCCCGGCTGAGCCCCCCTTGCTACAAGCAGGTGCAAAAGGAATTGAGTAATTTGGTGTCACTGTTATTGCTGAGCCGCTCGGAGCAGGCGTGTTATCGCTCCCCGGCTCGCTTCTGGGAATGGAAACCATTAAATACACAACTGCTGGAGGTTGGGCAGGGGCTGCTGCTGGGGGGCTGCTGCCCAGCGATGAGCAAAAAAGCACTTTGGTCTTCCTCAGATATCTGAGATTTCGTGCCAGTCGAGATCTTCAAGGACAGGGACAGGCAGAGAGGCTCCTCTCCCTGCGGCCGGGCCACCGGCCCGATTTCCAGGGGGCTGAGACCAACAGGAGCACCGCAGCTTCAGCCTCAGCCCCAGGCAGCCTCCTCCCCTCCGTGGGGACAGGCAAGTCAGCTCATCCCAAGAATCCCGCAAGCAGCCCAGCAGCAAGCTCCAGAGCAAGTCGCCTTCTCCAGCACCCGCTTCGGTTTCAGGGCTCCCACAGCAATCTGGAGGCGCCTTTGGGCACACGGAATGACCCCAGGAAAACGGAAGAGCAGCCAAGCCAGGCTGGACCACACACGCCTCGGCCACCCCATCCCTGCTCCTGCAGGTCTCCCCGCTCACCTCTGTCACCTGCTGCTTGTCCAGGTGGAAGATCTGCCCGGAGCTGGTGGCGGCGATGCGCTCGTACACGCGGTACCCGGGGTGGCTCCTGTCCCCGCAGTCCCCCGTCAGCACAAACACCACCTGCCACAGCAACGCTCCCCATAGCATCACGCGCAGCCAAGAGGAGGGGGTCTGTCTGTCCCAGGGAGGGGACGCAGGCACCAAACAGCCCCCAGTACATCGAGCCAGCCCAGGGGAGGCAAAATTCAGCCCGCTAATGGGCAGCGTAGGGGGGTTATTGCTGTGGCTCATCGCCAGGAGCTGCCGTCGTGCTGCTGCAGCGTCCACCCACGCCGGCTCTCGCAGGAGACCCGTGAGCGGCACCGCTCACCTGGGTCTGCTTGTGCTGCAGCAGCCACAGCAGCTCCTCCTGCTGCTCGTAGTCCTTGGCCCGAGCATCCGAGAAGACGTAGACAAAGGAGCCGGGATGCGAGACCTCCACCGCCAGCCTGATGGCTCCCACGCTCATCTCCGGGCAGTCCCCTCCGCCCTGCGGCGCACGGGGAGGGATGTGGCACAGGCATCAAACCACCCAGTGCTCAGCCCTTCCCTGCTGGGCTCCCAGCAGGATCCCACCCAGGGGCTGCTCACGGGGAGGAGTTGCACCGGTTTGCTGGAGTCATCCCGAGCGCAGCCAGAGCGGCGTGATGGTACCACAGGGACGGGCAGGATCACGAGGACCCGTCCCTGTCACACCACTGATGATGATTAAACCACCCATTTGGGCACCCAGACTCACAGAAGCCTCTGGTTTCCCACCAACACCTTTAGTGAGCATATTTGTGCCCACCCCAGCCTGTCCTGTCCCATCCCCCACCATGGCACCAGAACTGGCCACCCCGGGCAAGGGCAGAGACACAGCGAGGACCGGCTCCCGCTTCCACAGGGCTTTGCACCACGAAGGGCCGTGAAATGATTCGCAGCCGCAGCTTCACACCCCCTGCTAAAACACAGCTGCATCCGAAGGGAAACGCCACAGGGATTTAGCAATGCACGGGAGGCAGGGCAGGAGCAGGGATGGATAAAGCATGATTAAACTCCCAGAGAGTGTTTCAGCTGGCAGAATGCAGCTGAAATAGTTTTTAAAAATAAAAATAAAAAAAAATTAAAAAAAAAATACTCAAAGAATTTTCAAACAGCACTTCTAGAAGAAGAGATTTTTGGTTCCACGGAGAGTTTGGGCAAAGTCTCCCAGGGAAAGCATTCGCACTTTGGGACAGAGCAGTGAACTGAGAGCGCTCTGCCCCATCGCAGGAGCCTGGGGCTCAGCGCCAGCGTTGCCCACCCCCTCCACTCCCACCCCGCTGCGGTCAGCCCCCCCCCGCCCAGCTCAC